AACTTTGACTAAATATAAATATGTACTATTTTTATTTACAAATAAATAACTAAGCATATCCACTTTCGTTCATATTTCCCATGCCATTGATGCCCTATCAAAACAACACACTCTAATGGGTATACAATTGGATAATCATGTTTATGGCCCTCAGTTGCGAAGGCATATTTTAAAAAGATTTAATGCACATTCAGTTTGTTCAATTGCACAGATTTGCATTTGCCTCGCATTCGCATTCGTTTTCGCATTGAATTAATCATGCACTCTCTCCCACGCCCACTCATTTCCGTTTTGGCAATCGTTAAAACTCAGTTATCGACTGCAGTCGCACAGCTACAACAATTTTCCACTCAGTCCCGTGCGCTATTCATTTAGTATGGCTTGGCTTCCGTTTACTTGAGCTAACATTAAAAAGAAGGCAAACATTTTTGAGTTAATATGCAAAGAGACAGAGAGAAAGTGAATCAAAGCGAAAATGCAAATTAAATTTCTCACATTTTGTTGTGCATGTTTTTTTAGTCTACCTCTCTCTCGCTCTTCCTCCCTTTTCTCTCATATGAGACAACATTTATTCCCCTGTGGGTAATGAGATTTAAAGGCATCTCTCAAAGGGCAGACATAAATAAATTGCATTGAGAATGCTGCAGTTGCAGCAGGAAGCAGCAAGAAAAAAAAAATACCTACAAATTTGTGCACTCAAATATTAAATGGAAATTCTCAATTGTGCAACATGCTCTCAGTTACACATAATATATGTATATTTCAGTCGGAGAAGCATTTAAGTAGCATATCAACTGTATGACATGATGCAGTTGAATTATGGACAAGAAGCTAGCAATACGAGAAAAGCAAAATAATTGTCTCTGCATTTCCTTTCATTCAGCTCAACTATTTAAAAAGCATTTTTGAATTTTAAATAAATTAGTATTTAAAAGAGAAAGGCAACTGAAACGAAAATACGTTGTAATGGGAATTATTTCATTACAAACTGTAAATCCTCTTAACAACAATTATAACGAATAGTAATCAAATATTAACTGAACTGGAAGACGAAAAGAAACAGAGAGAACGCTGCATAAAATAAAAAACTTAACTGCATTCTCTGCAATAAATGCAGCAGAACCTTCACTTTTATTTGTATATTTATTTAAAAATATTCTTAACATTTATATTCTTAATTTTTTCCTCTATCTTACATCAATTTCAATTTCAATCGATCAACTGCAAGAACTTGCACCAATTTCTCATCAATTTGATTGCATTTACAGTTTCCATCCGAATGTTTGTATGTGTTTGCCCCTCCCGCTCCCGTTTTTCGTTATCCAAACATTACTGTCCAAATATATAAACTAATTTGCGTGTTGGTTTTGTCACGCGTTTGCATCCATCAACGTGGAAAACTGTCAAAATTTTGGACACAAGTACTAACATACATACATATAGAGAGAGAGAGAGAGAGAGGGAGGAGGAGGCGTGCTAGCTTGAGCTGCAAAGAGCAGAAAAATATTTTTCCACTGCATTAGAGCCAAACATAGCGAAAATAGCGTAGCCAAAGCCAATGTCAGACATGTGAATGTCGCGCGCTCTGACCAACAGCAGGAGCAGGAGTAGCAGGAGTAGCAGGAGCAGGAGTAGCAGGAGCAGCAGCAGGAAGCTGATGCACTAATTACAAACATGTCAGCAGTGGCTGGCTGGTCGGGTCACGGCTATAGGTAGTTGAGCGGAAAGTGAAGAGAGGCGGGTTGGGGGAGTAGATGTCGGATTCCACTCATCATAATCAACGCGATGCTGCAAACTTGACTTCATTTCGCTGGCAACTTTTGGCCTGATGGCACATCAGCGGCTTTTGCACTGGTCCAGTTGTAATTTGGCAGCACATTTTGCCAACATGAAATTTGATTTTGACACAAACACAGACACAGACTCAGACACACACACACGTTAGACAGCCGGCAGTGTGTTAGATAATTATGATGCATGTGCCGAGTGAGGAGGAGAGAGAACTTACGTATAGACGCTTGGTTCGTTGAACCTTTCTGGCTTGACACAGCCATAATACAATGGCCAAGCAGCTGCCTTTTGTTTGACAAGCTCGCCAAAAAGGACACAGAACAATTGTAGTTTAGAATTTATTAAGTGCTTCCTGCTGAGGCAGTCAAGACGATGAGCCACGATGCCAGGATGCACTTACAACTGTTGCCACAGGCTTTTAACTCCATGCATATCACACGCCTCCCGGCTGCCGCCTCCACCTACCGGCTCTCCCTTGGCCACATCTTCGTATCCTATCTATGGATACTTTGTTTTGTACGTGTTTGTCCATTTATGCTGCTCATATTTTAGCCAAAGTTCGTCCTCTTCCTGTCATGTTGCTAGCTGTGTGTCGTGTCTATGTATGTGTGTACTACAAAGTGCACTTAATGCAAATGCCTAGTCTTTTAATTGAGCTGCTCTTGCGTGATAGATAGACCTCTGGCATTACAAGTTCTATCCCACATGAATCTCCCTGCCTTCTGTCCACATTTCGTCGCCCAAACTTGGCTGCATTGACATAATTTAATTAAATTTCATGCTCAATCACCGATAATTTGTTATTTAAAAATTATTATAATTGATAAATTTGTGGAATCTGTGCGTCAGCAATGACATTCACTATAAATATTATTGAGGGCAGTTAAGAGCTAATATGTAAAACTTGTGATTAGCTTCGAATATCATTTAACTTGATAATCAATGGTTTCATTCACTGACAGATAAATTGCTTGGCTAATTGAATAAATGCAATTGAAATATCAATCCCAATATTAGCCAATAAATAAGCAAGTGACAATCGGTTGTAGCCGACTTGCAGATATCCTACTAAACAGGGATTTTTTGGTTTACGAAAATGGTTTTTAGTGAGGTATGCTAAGAAATAATTTGTAAAGGTCGAATGAATGCATTTAAAATTAATTCCAATCTTATTTAATGAAGCAGTAAAAGCTTTGAATATATTCTTTGATTTCTTCATATGCTTAAAGAAAGCTCACTCTCTATCGGGTATGCTCTATTTGACAATGAACATCATGTCGATCGTTATAATATGACTCACAAGTTAAGAAATCAGTTAACCAGAGCTAGCATTCTTTTATACTAGAAGAGGAAAGAGAGCTCATCTGGCCAAATGCTACCGATATTAGCCTCCCTCTAGAGTGAGCAGAAGTTGGTAGAAGGTCTATTTTGTTCCGATAAAAGCAATGAACCTCAAAGGATTCTTCGCGAACTCCGACCACCAAAAAATGTAAGCCATAAGAATCAGCTGCATAGACAACTTTCTCTTTCTATATTCAAAATCAGTCAATTTGGTCAATTTGCTTATCCTTTTTGTCTGTTCCTCCCTTCGGCATTGCTTGGGGAATATTCTACTATCCCGTTAAACTGCAAGAGAAGTCTACAAGGGTATTTGGAAATATCGATATTGAATCCATCATAAGCTGATGCTTCTGGTCAAGAATATACTATTTTTTTATTTTATATTCCCACAATAAATATATAATAAAATACAGAATATTTAATTAACAATTCTAAAAACAAAAAACTATTCGCGTCTAAATTAATTGTTTATTCGCTAATCATCACAAAATTAAATTGAAAATAAAATTTTTGAAACGCGAAAACTTAACTTAAATATAATATATGAAATTATAGGCACATTGACATACATTTTGAAACTCAGCGTGTGAAAACAAGAGTTTTCAATTAAAATACAAAATTGAAATTAATTGCAAATTTTGTATTACAAGCGAGTGTGTATGTGTGTGTGTGTAGCCAAATTGTTTGGCAATTCATTCATTTTTCGATTCATTTTTTCACTGTTAACGAGTGATGGAGAGCAGCACAACTACGCAAACACTCAATCAAACACACTCGCAAAGCAACACTTGTGCATTCTCTCACCTAATTAGTTGTCATTTTGCAATGGAAATTCGTTGTTGTTGTTGTTGTTGGATGGACAACAACATTTTTGCCCTACAGCTAAAAAAAAAAAACAACAACTGCAGCAGCAGCAGCAGCCTTTGGGCTCACACAAATTTGCATGACGTTTTGTATTTAAATATTTATGAAAACTATTCATGACAAAAGTTGTAGCCCTCGTTTCCGTCTGGTTTGTTTTCATTTCACAGTTTTCTTTGCCTATTTTGCATATATTTGTGTCGTCTTTCTCTCTCTGTATATGTGTGCGACTGTGTGTGTGTGAACCATGTTAAATTAGTTTAGAAATTGTTGCCGCAATAAATATATTTGCATTTTCGTCGCTCCAACAATCTGTGAATCTATGGCATATGCATACAATATGTTTTTGCTGACCCAACTCATTGTGTGAAGCTTGTAATTATGTTCAAGTCTTTCTGTATGTTACATGTGTGTGTGTGTGTGTGTGTGTGTGTGTATTGGCCAGGAGACTGCATTTCAGTTCCTTAAGGGTCGGCGTTCCAGCAGCCAAATTGCTAACATTTTTGAAATTAATATAAAACTTCAAATCAACTGTTTGAAATCTGCTTTTCGGGCTGTGGGAAATGTCAAATTAAATATAAGAATGTATGCAACTAAGCATATAATCCCCTGCCTTTGGTAGTTCATATCTTGTGGTCTTTTCATCCGATCTACAAGTGGAATGCCTTGTTCGACGCATATTTATTCATAGTATCAAATTACATCCAAAAATAGCCCCTGACTGTTGAATCTTCGGACGAATGCATACCAAACCAAAACATATAAAAATACCGAAAAAATACTGAAAAAATACTGACTTAATAGTTCATATCTTGTGGACTTCTTATTTTCAAGGTATTCCCCTAGTTTGACGAATATTTATCAAATTACATTCAAAAATACTGAAAAAATACTCTGGGTAGTTTATATTTTACAAAAATATCCCTAGACCTTTGAAGTTTCGGACGAATGCACATAACCGAAAAATACCAAAAAATATTAAAAATGACCAAACAATAACTTTGCAATGGCACTTACTCTTGTATTCGTCACCTGGTTTTCGAACGATATATTATTATATGAATTCTGTTAAAAAAAAAATTAATAAAAAATAATCACTCAATAACTGAAAAAAAAATAATAACAATAATTATATTATAATTATAAATTTATGATCATAATTAAATTATAAATAAAAGATTTGTTCATTGAACTCTTTTATTTAGATCTTCTATTTGATTATTTAATAACTGCCTCGACATTTTTATGAAGTATCACTGCATTTGAAGCATTTACCAAACTCCAACTTTAACTCCCGTTTGCCCTATCGAAATTTCGCATTTTCACAAACTCAAGTGCCACAAGGTTGGATCACAAAGCTCCCACTCGTAAATGCGCTCCATTAAATGCATCATTTCGAAATAGTTGCCACGCAATCACAGCTACAATCGAGTGCGTCCTGCCTCAACGCCTTGATGCTGCTGCTCCTGCTGCTCCTTCTGCTCCTTCTACTCCTCCTGCTGCTGCGTGGTATGCAACAAGTTCCCATTTTTCCTGCGCTCCTTATGCAATTATTTTCGCACAAAAGTTTACACGCAACTTTGACTTTTGCCTTCGTGAGAACAGTGAAGTGTTCTCTCCACTATATTTTTTGTTGGCTTCTTTTATGTATGCGCGTATCCATTTCACGTGCTGCTTGCCCGCAGGCAAGCGTTTGCCAACGGATTTGTCACGTGCCATTTGCGGGATTGTTTTCACGCTGCTTTCTGTAAATCCAGCACACCTACCCAAAAAAGGAGCTAAGCTACGCGAACATTATATACATATATATTATGTATGTATGTGCATAGGAATGCAGTGGAATTTAAATTATTATGCCCGCCACGTGATAATACTTCCGTTGAGCGTGCATTTCTGCATTTATAGTTGCCTAAGAGAATTCTAAGCAGCACTCAAAAATAAATTAATAATTTTCAAGCAATTATAAATCAATATAATGATGTATTGCTTCTTAAGTGATAGTTAATATGCTTAAATTCATAAATTACTAATAAATTATAAATTTGATTACGCTTTAAGTCAATATAAAAGTATTTACTTCTTAAATTATAAATAAAAGGCTTAAATTAATAAATTTTTAATTATTAATGAATTACAAATTATTATAAATTAATATAAAGATCCTTCATAAATAACAAATTTAATTACGCTATTAATTATAAAAATATATTTAGTAATTCATTATAATATTTTATTTTCGACATTCTCGACTAAAATCCCTTATACTAGAAAGAAACGTTTGCCATTGTTGGCTGCATAATGCATATTTAATTTTACTGTTAAATATTGCATGAATTAGCAACAAAAGTATCAGATCAGAAATAGGCTCTGCTATTCAATGTATTTATAAATTCAATTTTATTTAATTAAATACAATGCATAAACAGAAATATTAGTTGCTCTTTTACAAACCAGAACCCCTTAAGTAACTTTCCTATAATTTGGTAAAAAGCCACAACACCGCTCACAATTCACCTCTAGCACGTCGATAAAGCAGTTGTTCAAGCTCCCCTTTCTGATTCCAAAGTTTCAACACGCAGAACTCACCACATGTTCAACCCCGCCACTTCAAGGAACTCACCACAAATTGAGTCTAGCAAACTCAATAAACTCACCACCTACTCTGCCCCTTACTTTGGAGTCTCGGCTCTTTGCCGGCAAGCACCTGTTGCATGCCTAGAGTATAATTTTCACCTCTGCCGTAATACGAATGAGGAAAGTTTGTTCGGCTCCCTCCCGCCCTCCTGCTGCCCTTCGGCTGAGCAAACATGCGCAAAGAGTGTGCATTAAGCCGATTCGCGTCTCATTTTCGGCCAACAAATTTATTTGCTCGATGCGATTTTTGACCTAACTGCATTAATAGCAAATACCAAATCGGATGGATATGCTTTATAGAATGTCCTTCATATGAAATCAACAATTATGAGAGCCTAAGACGAAATAGATTTGTTATTAATATTAATTTAATTAATTAATTTTTAATGTTGTTTACTGCATATGCATTTCTTTTATTAGTTTGCATCATATTTTTGTTTGTAAATATTCAACTATTTATATCAATATGTTTATTATTCCGTTGCCTTTTAATTATATTTGCTTCCTTCATTTGTTTATGTTTTATTCGCAAGGATTTAACTGCATTCAAGTTTCAGCTGTGTTCAGACACAAAAAATCTGAACTAATTATTATATAATTTTAATAATTAACTTAAAAATAAAAACTTAACATCTTTAATTTTTTAATAATTTATAAAAATACCTGCTGTTTCTATTTTATTCTTTTAATCATATTAAGAGCAAGGAAAAGGTTAGAGTGGATTTTTTTCAGTTATTATTATATTTATATACAAATGTTTTTCTTTTACTTTTCGCAGAACAAAACTCAAATTCTCCCATTTGATTACTACTATGTCTTTACGCACTCACGCACACTAACTAATTTAAGGCCATTTGAGCATCATTTTCTGCAAAGTTTTCTCTTTCAAGCAATTTTCGTTCATTTAGTAAAAAGTTTACTCAAATCTGTTTTTTAATGCAATTTTTGGTTTTTTGCTGCCAAACTAATGCAATAACATTCAATGGTCAAATACAGTTATTGTCGCTAGCTATTGTTGTTGTTGTTTTTAATTTTTTGTTTGTCTCATTCATTGGTTTTCCGTTATTGAGCTGGCGTTTTTTCCACGTTGTTTACTTTTGTGACTTGTTTTTCGTAAATTTTTATAGAGTACATAAAAGCTTTTGGCCGGAATTCTCTTGGCCAAATACGGTCATTCCCATATATGCTATTGGGATTATTTCAATTATTTTTTTGTCTTTTTATATATTTGTATAATTCGCATTTAAATACGAAATGGGCGGCAGCTGCCTCTGCTGCATTCTTTGCTTTTTTGTTCCTGTTTGTCAATGTTTCCATTTGGCAATTAATGGAAATATTGTTTGGAATATACCTTTAAACAAAACCATATCAAATTTAATTTTGTCAATTGCGTTTTTGCCTCTTCTTCTTTTTCTCTTTTTTTTTGTAATTTTTTGGTGGTTTCGATTTTTATTTTTATATGTTTTTTAGCCCATTACAAAGTTATTGGTTTGTGGCATTTTCAATTAATGTCATTGCGTGTTTTCAATTTGTTTAAATCCAATTTGCAATGTTAAGCAAATGTGTTTGCGGTTTTTATTTAGCTCGATTTTCCTTTTGCGTTTCGCTATTTAAATAGCTTTGGTTGACATTAAAAACAAAAATGAAAATAGAATTGAACGTAAATGAATATTAATATTCATAGAGTTCATAAAGTTTATTGGCTGGCTTTATTATGAGCTTGTGGCCGCAGTCCAAGTGGAATGGTCTTAATCAACGCAATTAATGTTGTCTACATAAAAAGATTCTTCACCAATAAATAGAATTAATAGTTTTCTGAAGATATTCCATTTGATTTTAAATTAAATCCAGCCGGGGCACA